TTCTTTTTTTCTTTTTTCCTTTCTTTTTCCTTCTCTCTCCCTCTCCCTCGATATCCTGTTTAACATACAGTTTGTATTTTCCGATGAACGATCGGTTACCGAAAATTATTGATTGTCCATCACACGAAATTTACAGTAATCACGCATGCCAAAGTTTACGATTTCTGATGCAACAGTACCATCATAGTCTACACCCTTTCCCCCTGCATTCAAGAAAGGGCCGAAACATACTGAAAATGAGTCCAAATTTTAAATAGTAAAGCAACAACTATTCATATTGTTGGTGATGTGTCCGCTTCAAGTTTAACCCAAAAACGTATGATCGCACCGGCAAGCCTGGTGCGTCGCTGCTTGGATTTATCTCTGAAAATCTTTGAGGCGCAGTCGCGCCGTTAATCTTTTCTATGAAATCGCCGTTAATCTTTTCTATGCCTCTCCAGTTAACATTTACCGCTTTTTCGAAAGCCATCGAAGTGGCTGTTCTTTTACTGACCTTTTCTTTCTAGTGCATTAAAAGTATGGTGTGCGGACAAACTACTGCTTTTCCGGTGGTGGAGTGTCCTGTTTTAATAAATCACCGTGAGCATCAAATAAAATTAACTATATATATAGTTAGTTAAGTATATACATATGTAGTTAATAGATAAGTAAACAGTATGCATTTACTTGTCTACCTATTCATTTATTTATTTATTTGTTTGTGTCTTCATATGCGTCGGTGTGCCTATGTTCCTGTGTATATGTTTGTGAGAGGATTTGCGGCCGTGCTAGACATTCATTTTTTGGCGTTTAGGTAATACCAAAGCAATTATGTTATAACGCTGGCATTGATGCCACGGACGTATTGAATCGCCTTCGCTGTGAACATGCTAGAGGTGGGAAGTGGGCTGGCATCGATATTAATGCAGAAGATGTTCGCGATACTATGGATGCGTGTATTTGGGAGCCTGCTGTTGTAAAAGCGGTACGTCTTCCTCTGACTTTTGCGATTCATGTAGTTACCATCGCTTTTCTGTGATAAATGAATGGTTCTTATCATTTTTTTAAACGTTGTGAGCGTGGAGTTTTTATTTCCGTTAGTGCTTTAAAATTGTGTGTATGTGTTTTTCCAACTTTTGAAGCACTAATTGTCATATCATTTAATGATTCAAGCCTTTTGTGAGCATATCTGCGTTGAAATTTGTTAAATCGAACTGGTTGTATTTTAGAACGCAATAATCGCGGCGACTGAAGCAGCGTGCCTTGTTCTGAGCATTGATCAGACTGTGAAGAATTTTCGTGCACCAGATGGCGGCCAGTTACCAGATATGTAACCAATAAAATTGCTTTACTCGAATTTAAGTATGCATCGTTTGTAATGGTTTATTTCAAGGCCAGTTTCATACTTTTTGTATGAACTGTTGCTAAATTTTCACAAGTGCTTCGTGAACTTTTGTGCGCACGAGTTGAAGTTTTTGTTATAAAAATGTTTGAAATTCTTTCTCCAGTCAAATAAATAGGAAACAAATGGCGTTTACTTAAACTGCTACTGTGTTTTGTTAAACGGCGTTTTGCTTTCACTTTGTTGGTTTTATTCTGTGAAAGATAAAAGAATTTATGCTTAAGAAATATTCGATTAGTATTTGCGTCGTTTTTTATGCGTTTTTTGCAGCAATGCAATGCGAAAAACGCATATTGACGAGAGGTTGTCT